CCTTTGTTATGCAACTATTCAGAGCTTGTAAAGTCTATTTGTAATTTACATTAGCTATGAAGTATTTTCGAAAATGTTTGCTTGTGGATCCTGAGTAAGGTGCTTTCTCTAACCCATTTTCTCTTTTGTATGTCCTGAGGGACCATAGGAGGTTTCGGGGAGGCTGACCTTTACGGACCGATACGCAAGGGTGCCGCACGACTTAGGCAAAACCAGCTAACTCCATGACACTATGGTGCCTCACCCCGCGGGTACAATGGCTGCAGGTGCCGCTAACCCATAGCGCCTCTGCACGCAGACTGCCAGTAGTAGCACCAGCAACTGTAGGCTGCGCCAGCAGGCTGTCGGCCCTCGCAGGTTGCCGACTGCCAACGGCAAGCCTACTCCATGCAGATGGCAGCAAGAGCAACAAGGACAGCAACAATTGCTGCCCTTTCTCGCTTTTGCATTAACAATTTTGATGTAAAAAGCTTCTCCAAAATACAACACACGTAGTTTAAAACCAATTTTTGCACGAACAACCTGGCTTTGATACCACTATTGGGAAATCTTGGGGTCAACATCACATGTGCAGCGGAAGAACATAAAATAAAATCCCCAATTCCTAAAGATATGTTCGTCGTTGTGCAAAGATTGGTGCGCAAAAATCCACGAAATAAAAAATCATGTGTGAGATATATTGTATTACCTAGGGAGGTCATATATCCCTACATCCCTATAGATCTCTAGGAAAGGGTGAAGGAGGTCAAGCACCCTCCTCACTAGCGATGATCCACATAGCAGGGCTGCGATGACGCTCCTCAAATCTCCAAGTCTGCTTTCAGGTGGAGAGGGGAAGGAGAATAGGAGAGGAAGCAAAAAGCTCTAGTCTATAAATTATTGAAACCCTCCTATTTATAGAGGTCTCCTATCAACTTAACCCTAATAGATCTTCCCATATTGGGTATTGGATCTCCATCCAACTATCCAAGCCTCTTAGATTAGTGAATTTTTATCCAATAATCTATCATGAGCTCTTATTGGATCTCATCCATAGGATCCAATAATTCATGAGCTTATTGGATATCCAATAAGACAGGGGCTCCGGCGGATATCTCATATCCGAACCTCTACTCATCGCAATGCCTACCATATGTATGTGACCTTCTATGCCCAATATCGAGCTGGTTGTGAGTCATACCCATCAGAACTCCTTCTAGCTCAGTGAATTATTATCTCTATAATAATTTACTCGACTCATCGATTGCGGATGTACTATGCCACTACGCCGCAGTCCTAAGATGATATAGGGGAATCCAATCCATTGAACCTGTTCATCCTCAATTACCATGTACCTATAGTCGTTTATCCATCTAATATTTCAGAGACTGTATACCGGGCATGGTACTGTCAGACCCATACGGTTTCTACACAAGTCTCGCTCTAATCGAATTCTCCTAGAGAACTTTTTCTTTCTAAATCTGAATGACTCTGGACAATGATTTATTTGAGCAAAAATACATGAGACATTCCTCTCATGACACCGAAAGTGGATGATCCTCTATCGACAGTCAATAGCCCTCGTAAGGTTGACTACCACTCCCGATGACCGGTTGTGTTAGATCTGAGACATCCAAACATATAAGTCTGGTATCAAAGAGTGGAGCACTCATATAGGACATCCTTGGTGTCTCAAGTCTAAGGACCGATACACCACTAGGACTATGGAATCACTTTCTAACAATATTGCATCATCAACCATTTAGCATTTCGTAAGCAGATTAATCAATGAACTCATTCCCCAATAAGCACCTATATTGTATCCCTAGTGTCTCCACATGAGTAGCTATAAGACCAACTGCATCTATCATATGAACGGGTATACAATACACCAGTATGTCCGGTTATCTCGATGTCTCTCTCGAGTAACCTATGATTGAGATTATTTAGGATTTGTGTTTAAAGGTGAATCAACCTTATTATCATGACATCATCATGATACGATTCTCATTACACAGATCCAAGGACATCACAATATATA